TCAGAGTGAATATCCAGCCATAATGGCGCCGTCATATGGCCTCACTCACGTGGTTCGTGACGTAAGGGAAAAGAATCGTGAGGTTATGGGGCTCCCCCTGACCTAGATTTATTTCTCTGTCATTGGCTGAATCGCAGATTAATGCCTACAGTTCAAAATAGTCATTTTGACTATTCACATAGTTCATACCCACCATAGACTGAACCAGTCTCCAAGACTTGGCAGAGGAAAAATATTCAAAAAAGAAATGGCTTATTGTAGACTTAACAGCACCTCATGGTATACCTGAGATACCAAGTCTAAATGAGTTAATCAAAAAAGAAACCATTGTATATTTGAATTGATGAAGCAATTGCGGAAATTTAACATGACCAGGGAAACATCCTCATATGTAAATTTGACATTACAGATGCTGTTAAGCAGATACCCTTGCACCCATCAATCTGGCATCTAGATCAGTGTTTGAAATCAACTATTTCATTCTTTGTCTCATTAAATAATTGCATTATTTTATATTTTTGGAATTTAACTACCAAGTAAAATGTTATTTTGGTAAACTCGATTTCTATTGCTGGCCAGTCTTTGACCAGTTGGACATAAATACGTGGCTGTGAAATATTTACTTAATTGTTTCCCCTCTGGACATCATATGTTCAGTAATTTTTACAATTTCATTTTAATATCGTTCTCTGGTAACAAGTACAACAAAAATAAGCTGGCTGGATTTAAAGTCCATCACCATTCTGAGGCAATTTACTGCAAGTTATACTGTCTCCACTGTCAATTAGAAATAAATACTAGAAATATGCCCAAGACATGTTTGTTACGGACATTACCTTTCTCAAGAAAGGAAGGCTAAAAAAGCACAAGAAATTGGCTTTTAATTTCCAGAAAAATAAGATGCAAAAAAAAGGTACAATCCGAGACATTTCTAAGTTATGAATTTACTAGCACTTTGAAAAATCCAATGAGAACCCAGCATGACAACTATGCTTACATCAAGTTCCTTAAATAATGCAATTAGGACCATGAACACTCATTATACATTATTTTTCCCTTGGAAATGCAAATTACCTGGAAATTTGAGTACTGATACTTGTATTTGACCATGTTCAACTGGCGTAATTCACATATCATACATACTGATGAAATGAAATATTATATTATTATTTGCAGGGAGTGGCTGCAAAGTTGAGTACCAGGAATATGTCAAACATGGAACAACACAGTCTGCGTACTGCAAAACCATACCAATGTAAAGAATGTAACAAGTGTTTTACTCAGAAAGGCACTCTGAAAACACACCTGAGAGTTCATACTGGTGAGAAACCATACCAGTGTAAAGAATGTGACAAGTGTTTTACTCAGAAAGGCGACCTGAAATCACACATGAGAGTGCATACTGGTGAGAAACCATACCAATGTAAAGTTTGTGAGAAGTGTTTTACCGAGAAAGGCTACCTGAAATCACACATGAGAGTGCATACTGGTGAGAAACCATACCAGTGTAAAGAATGTGACAAGTGTTTTACTCAGAAAGGCACTCTGAAAACACACATGAGAGTGCATACTGGTGAGAAACCGTATGAATGTAAAGAATGCAACAAGTGCTTTAGCTGGAAAGGGGACCTGAAAAAACACATGAGAGTGCATACTGGTGAGAAACCATACCAATGTAAAGAATGCAACAAGTATTTTACCTGGAAAGGCGACCTGAAATCACACATGAGAGTGCATACTGGTGAGAAACCATATGAATGTAAAAAATGCAACAAGTGCTTTAGCTGGAAAGGGGACCTGAAAAAACACATGAGAGTGCATACTGGTGAGAAACCATACCAATGTAAAGTTTGTGAGAAGTGTTTTACCGAGAAAGGCAACCTGAAATCACACATGAGAGTGCATACTGGTGAGAAACCATACCAATGTAAAGAATGCAACAAGTGTTTTACCCGGAAAGTTCAACTGGAAACGCACATGAGAGTGCATACTGATGAGAAACCATACCAATGTAAAGAATGCAACAAGTGTTTTACCCGGGATGAAAACCTGAAATCACACATGAGAGTGCATACTGGTGAGAAACCATACCAATGTAAAGAATGCAACAAGTGCTTTACCTGGAAAGTTCAACTGGAAACGCACATGAGAGTGCATACTGATGAGAAACCATACCAATGTAAAGAATGCAACAAGTGTTTTACCCGGGATGAAAACCTGAAATCACACATGAGAGTGCATACTGGTGAGAAACCATACCAATGTAAAGAATGCAACAAGTGCTTTACCTGGAAAGTTCAACTGGAAACGCATATGAGAGTGCATACTGATGAGAAACCATACCAATGTAAAGAATGCAACAAGTGCTTTACCTGGAAAGGCCGCCTGAAAAGCCACATGAGAGTGCATACTGGTGAGAAACCATACCAATGTAAAGAATGCAACAAGTGCTTTACCTGGAAGGGCCACCTGAAAACACACATGAGAGTGCATACTGGTGAGAAACCATACCAATGTAAAGAATGCAACAAGTATTTTACCTGGAAAGGTGACCTAAAAAAACACATGAGAATGCATACTGGTGAGAAACCATACCAATGTAAAGAATGCAACAAGTGCTTTACCTGGAAAGGCCACCTGAAAACCCACATGAGAGTGCATACTGGTGAGAAACCATACCAATGTAAAGAATGCAACAAGTGCTTTACCTGGAAAGGCTACCTGAAAACACACATGAGAGTGCATACTGGTGAGAAACCATACCAATGTAAAGTTTGCGACAAACATTTTACTCAGAAAGGCACTCTGAATATACACATGAGAGTGCACAGTGGTGAGAAACCATACCAGTGTAAAGAATGTGATAAGTGTTTTACTCAGAAAGGCCACCTGAAAACACACATGAGAGTGCATATTGGTGAGAAACCATACCAATGTAAAGAATGCAACAAGTGCTTTACCTGGAAAGGCCACCTGAAAACACACATGAGAGTGCATACTGGTGAGAAACCATACCAATGTAAAGAATGCAACAAGTATTTTACCTGGAAAGGTGACATGAAAAAACACATGAGAGTGCATACTGGTGAGAAACCATACCAATGTAAAGTTTGTGACAAACATTTTACTCAGAAAGGCACTCTGAATATACACATGAGAGTGCACAGTGGTGAGAAACCATACCAGTGTAATGAATGTGACAAGTGTTTTACTCAGAAAGGCACTCTGAAAACACGCACGAGAATGCATACTGGTGAGAAACCGTATGAATGTAAAGAATGCAACAAGTGTTTTACATGGAAAGGCAACCTGAAATCACACATGAGAGTGCATACTGGTGAGAAACCATATGAATGTAAAAAATGCAACAAGTGCTTTAGCTGGAAAGGGGACCTGAAAAAACACATGAGAGTGCATACTGGTGAGAAACCATACCAATGTAAAGAATGCAACAAGTCTTATAAAAACAAATGCAGCCTTAAAACACACATGAGAGTGCATATTGTTCAGCAACGTCACAGTATTAGCAAGATAGAAGAAATAGAGAATGATGGATAAGTACATGTATTTCGTGTAATATTTATGTAGTGTACTACAGTCTGTGTCCATATTATGATGGACATGTACATGTATTCTGTGTAATATTTATGTAGTGTACTACAGTCTCTATATATGTTCGTTTTGATCCTTATACACTTGAATGAGTTGAAATTTAATGGCTTTTTCTATGCTGTTGTGTTGCTTTTGTCAACAAGCCCTGAAATCAACAAGTCATGAAATAAAAAATTTCCATGTTACGTTTTTATTTACAAAAAAAAAAAACTGAAAGAAATGTGTGAGTTTGACATAATGGTACACAACTTCAAAATGAAGACAAATATAATTACTTTGGCAATACACTGGGTTTCATGCATTATAAATTAGGGTCTTGATTTGTTTAACACATGAAACTGAAGATTTTAAAAGTATTACCCATAATCCCCAGAGGTGTCATTCACCTTATGGGAGGATGAAACAATTTAAAAATTAAAATAAAGTCCCTGTGT